GTTACACAACCCATAAAAACATTGTGACATCACAAAGTGGTCAAAATCTGATCAGCTGATTTTCAGAGAGGTTTTTATATAAATGGATCAGGTCCAAAAGAGAGGGGGTCATTGTTCCTGAAACTCTCCAAATCTCTTAACACAGAGGGGACACATATTAATGTATAAAAGACTTGAACAAGTGGATTTTGAATAATAGGTGACCTTTAACACTGAAAACAATGAATCACAATAATATAACCCTCATTATATAAAAGCATGTATGACCTTCTTAAGATTAGGTCGATAGAGGAAATACTTTTTAGAAGATCCTTGAAGTTAATGAAAACGTGATTGAACCACATTTTCAAAAGAAAGGATTCTGTTGAATATTAGACCCAGGTTTTTGCTGCAGGTTTGACATATGTAGACCGTCGAGCTGTCATCTGTAAAACGTGATTTCCTGTATATTTGTCAGTGTCAACATGTATCTGAATTAGATCTGTCCTTCCCACTGTCCCAGTCCCTGTAGACCCCAGTCTCATTATCGTGGTCCAGGCCAAAGAGGACGCCTACATCCCCCGAACAGGAGTGCTCAGTCTGCAGGAGATCTGGCCCGGGTGTGAAGTCAGATATCTGAATGGAGGACACATCAGTGCATATCTGTTTAAACAGAGTGTCTTTAGGTAAACTCCTACTCAGGATATGTGTTGTCTAGTATCACGTGGTGTGTTCCTGTGTTTGGTTGTACCTAGGTAAACTCGTGCTCACCAGAAAACAAGTTTTATTTGACTTGTGACACTCTCCCATTTCTGAGCCTCCTAGTATGACCTGATGTTATGTTATGTTGTTGGAGTTAATGGTCAGTAATAAGTGATATTGGTGAAGACCTGCCACATTTGACTCTTTTCTTTCTCTGCCCAGTGGGAACAAGTCATGCTGGGATTAGAGCCTTTTAGTTTAGTTGCCAATTTGCTGAACCCGGAAATGTTGAGTACCCCAAAGTCTTACGAGAGAAATGTATAAGAAGATAAGAAGTACTTTATTGATCCCAATTTGGTAAATGTTTGTGTTGCAGCAGCATAAAAAGACATTGCATTGTACAATACAATTGAAAAGACTAGAAATAAACAAGAAAGTAGAAAATATACATGTTGAATTACAAATGGAATTACAAATAGTAATAGTAGGGGTCCCCAGCGCATAGAAACTGCCGGATGCTAACTTGCATATGTTGGGCAATTTGAACAATTACCATTACCTGTAGATCATTTACAAAGATACCTAATCAATCTTGTTAAAGGCCAAAATGATGTCTGTACACACACCAGCCAGTAACACTATCATGAGTGATGAGTCTCTAACAGAGAAACAGTGGACTCGCGTCAAGTCCATTTATTCTTGAGATCATATCAATATTCTAACCTTATCAATTGAATAGTTGAAGACCTCCTGTTGTAGAGCTTGTGAAAAACAACATGTGCACACTTAAGGATGCTACAGCTGTTATTCAATCACACATTAACCATGTGCTGTCCAGTGTTCATTTTGGCAGCTATTTTTGATTTAGTCTTAGTCTTTAGACGGAAATGGTTATTAGTTTTAGTCACATTTTAGTCCTTTTTATCCTTCATAGTTTTAGTCTAGTTTTAGTCGACGAAAACTCAAAACGTTTTAGTCGATGAAAAATCTTTACATTTTAGTCAACTTTTAGTCAAAATGTTTTCTCTCTTTAAACTAATTCAGTCATATTTATATAAGTTATAAATAAAATATATATAATGATGTTATTATATTGTACTGTACTTGAGTAAAATGTTGAGGTCCTTGTACTTAACTGGGGTATTTAAGTATTTTGCTACTCTGTACTTCTACTCCACTACAATTCAGAGGTAAATGGTGTACTTTCACTCCCCTACATGTATTTAATAGCTTTAGTTACTTTACAGATCTGTATGAATGATGTGAAATATAATCAAGTGTTAAATCAGACTTTAGTTCCACCTGGAGTAAATTCACAATCTACCCTGCAGTATACAAAGTCATTCAAACTAGCTGCACCTTTACCAGCTTTGAGAACACTTTAATGATCAATCATTATAAAACATATCATATATATTATTCTGAAATGGACCAATCTGCACAATGACTACTTTTACTGTCGCTACTTTAACTATATTTTGATGAGAATACTTTTCTACTTTTACTTGAGGAACATTTTGAATGCAGGACTTTTACTGTAACAGAGTATTCCTATACTCTGGTCTCGTCTCGTCAACGAAACCAAATATACATTTCGTCATAGTTTTTATTATCAAGAATGTATTTTTAGCTTGTCATCGTCTCGTCTTTAGTCATGTAAAAAAGGTCGTTGACGAACATTTTTCGTCATAGTTTTCGTTGACGAAATGAACACTGGTGCTGTCAAACTTGGGGGTGCAATTTTTGTTGAACGGTAAAAAACGAATTCAAATGTAAACCCAGACTGTGTATCGTGCTACATTTTGTGTTGTTGTTCTTAGAATTGATTGCATATCTGTTTGTTTCTCAGACAGGCCATATACGATACATTCGACAGATTCTGCCTGAAGTATCCCAACCTGCACTAGCCATGGCAGGCTGAAGCCTTTCCTCCCTGAAACTGCATCAGGATCCCTGGCTGGAAAATGAATGCCTATCTATAGACCAGCTGTCTAATGTATCACATTACCTAATTCTTGTAAGAGATGAAAACTGTTGAGTATCAAATGTGTTGTTTTCCAGTCCTGCCAGTCTGTAGTTGTCAAACAACACTCAGGCCTCTAGCTTGATTTGTTAAACTGGTGTTAACAGACTGGTGAAATACCGTTAACAGTGTGTTATTCATATTTGACATGGAGAAACTCTGGATGGAAACACACCCTGTAACATTCTAATGGGAAAAACAATCAAGTAATGTTAAGTCAATTCAGCTCACTGTACAGACACTTTTCTAACTGAGAATTGATTAATGAACACTTTTAGCAGATGTCATTGTTATGCAAATAGAAATGTTATTGGTTATATTTATAATCAATACGATTTTCATAAATTCAACTCGTTTTTTATACCATTACCAAGGTAAGAGAACATGTAGTAGTGGGCAATCAGTCGAGTTGAGTCGATTGCTGTGCTTTCTAGAAGATTATGAAAACCAGGGTTTAGCATCATGTGAAAAATGAAATTGGCATAGAAAGATTCATGTGGACTATCAATCTGTATATTTCATCTTATTAATACCCATCCAACCACGAAGAAAAAGGTTTTAAAAACAATATTATCAACTGACACATTTAAAAAAAATGTTGGGATGAAAAATCTAAAATTAAAAAGAATGTACTAAAAAGGAATTTAGTAATAATTAATAATACTGCATCACATTTTTCCAACAACAACAAGCAAGAGACAAGACAACGTGGAAATCAAAAAGCATTACACTTTTTTGAAGTTACCCTAAAATTCAATATTTTTGTATATAACTCCTCCTCAGCTACAAGGCCAGCACGTGTGTCCACATCCTCAGGGAGGGTCTCTCCACTGTAGCACGCTGAGAGAGGAGAGGGGACAGGGCAGTGAGGAGGTCTTCAGCAGGATTGGCCATTTTGGGTTACAGAAGTCAATATTGTTATATTTTCCTGTTTAGCCTCTTGATGGTGCTGTTCCTATGAATAAATACAGATAGTGATAAAAACTGTGTTTAGGGTTAGCTTGTGTTTTGTAAAAGTAACATGACTTTGTCTGGGGTATGTACACATAACCCGTACATTCTATGAGTTAAAAGTGTGTCTCAATGACGTAAGGCAGGGGTGTCCAAACTGTTTCCACTGAGGGCCACATACAGAAAAACATACTGAGGATGGGCCCCTGACTAGAGGTGAGGTATACTGTTATAAGTTAAGTTATAAGTTAGCAAAATCAATCAAATGTAGGTAAATGATGCTTGATACTAGAATATGCTTTAAGAAAACAGCCTCCTTCACAGCTCTCCAGAGGGTTTACTTTATTGTGTAACTAAAAGTGTTGCAGTTCATTCCTTAGCCTCAGATTGCTTATAACAAGGGGAAATATGGAGGGTCTATTTCAAGTTATGGAAATAAGTTATTGGGCTTTTTTTATCAACTAAGATTTGTTAGAAAAATGTTTTCAACCTTAATCGACTGGATTTAGTAATAATACATTTTATTTTGAACGCTTTTTCAGATGCTCAAAGACACTTTACAGTGGTAACTGCACTGAATCTATTTGACAAATTGGGCCTATTGACACATTAATTCTGAGTTTCATGTGTGGGCCATATTCCATTAGCCTATACTTTTTCAATTAGCTGGGGGCCAATTCAAAAGGGTCCACGGGCCACAGTTGGCCCCGCAGCCTTAGTTTGGACCCCCCTGACGTAAGGTAGTTATTATTAGGTCATCTGACTGATCTCAGGACAGCTGTGTTAGGGTTGTAGCCTAATATGAAGAGCTGAAATGGAAGATAGGCAGCTCATTATTTTTAATCAGCTATTAATAATAGTTCAGTCTTGTTACTCAGCTCTCTCTGTCCCCCCTCCGTCTCTGTGCCAGATATTGTACTTTTTCCACCACTACATTTAATTACCAGCTTTAGTTACTAGTTCCTTTATAGGCCTACATGTTTAAGAATCATTGCAACCTACTGCATTAACATAAATTAAGCTACAGCTGTATTTCAAGTATTTAAAATGGGCTCCCCCATTCCAGCAGCAACGTTAGATGCTGAACACATTAATGCACCAATAGGTGTAGTCCGGTGATGTAATAGGGCAGGCTATATCATTTTTTCTCTGTCAAATATCTGAGCAGTATTGCTCCACTGGAGTTGAACATATAGAGCACGTGCTGAGGTTAACGCTGTTATCACATTTGACTGAACACGTGTGTGGTGACTTTGAAGTGGAACCCAGATTTAGAACTGCATTGTTGACATTTCATTAGTTTCGATGTTGTTGCTTGTTTATAGCTGTGAAGTGGAACCGGATGTGACGTGGCTGCTATATGCACCAGCTGATCGCAGCAGTAATCAGTTCGGTCATTACTGTCACTTTCTGATGAAAATCCGCAAGCACAGCAGCAACGGGTCACGCGCTACTGACAGGCCGCGGGAAAGTGCCGCGCGTGCAGCGGACACTGTTTGTTTTGTTTGACAGACTGCTCAGTGTCGAGGCCTACCTACGATGCTAAGCTAACCAGCTAGCTGTCACCATTCATGTAAACAAGTGGTGAAGGCAGTAGACGGTCAGGGTTAGCCCCTCTCAGCCGGACGGTGAGGACAGTGCGACCGGCCTACACTCCTCCATGTTGAGCTAATGTCTGTTCTGGTTGTCGGAAGCCTATGACAGTGACTTTCAGCAGCGCTCCCGGACAGCTACAAGATGTGGATAAAGCTGTTCTTCTTGCTCTTGTATTTTATGGTGTTGTTTATGCTAGCGAGGCTCTTTGAGGCAGTGGTCTGGTATGAGACTGGGATGTTCTCCACCCACCTGGTGGACCCCGTGAGCCTCAGCTACAAGAAGCTGAAGACCATCCTGGAGAGCAGGGGGCTGCCTTACTCCGGCCTGGCCGAGAAGAAGGATGTCAGCGAGCTGGTAGAGAAATCAGGTAAGGGTAAGAGGGGGAGGGGGCACACATTCGTCCTATAATAATGCAAATTGCTACTATATGCACTTTATCTAGTAGAGATTCGCTCATGATGCCAAAGTTGGTCTAAACATATTGTGTTGATTTTGTATCAAGTGATTCACTAATATCATTCTTCTTCACATTGAGTGAAATGTTACAGAACAAATATTAATCATACAGTTACAACGATCCTACAGTGTATACTGGCCCAACCTACACACAAAATATTTTATGTTGAGACATTTTGGAAAATGCTTTAATAAATGATTTTACTGAAAAAATAACCTCTAAATGCAGCACTTCTTAACAAAAACAAACCATTCTTCTATACTAACTTTACACATATGAGACTAAAACATTCAGAAACATGTTTCACTTTAGGATCTGGGTGTATACGTCTAACTCTTTGTAACTGGTCCCACAGGAGAGCTGACACATGGAGAGCTGTACTCAGCCATGAAGAAGGAGAAGGAGCAGACGGAGGCAGGAGACGGCAGCACCATCTTCAGTGGAGAGATGCACTTCTATGAGTTAGTGGAGGACACTAAAGATGGGATATGGCTGGTGCAGGTAATAACACTCTAGTAGGAGATATGAATGTATTGTACGCATCTAGGTACACATATTATTATATTACTAGATGAGTGGAGATGAAATAGTCTTCAATAATGATTATGAAATAGTATTTTTGCTTTAAATTGCCATCCCTGGTTTGAAGATGGGTCGGGTGGTTGCAATATCTCCACAGAGCCTTGATGCACTGTGGACATTTCACATTGTGCACAGTGGCCCCAAGGAGCGGGGAGAGAGGGCAAAGTGCTGCAAAGCTCTAGAGCCACTAGCCACCTTCCTCCGGGACATCCCGGCAGCTTGTGGCGCCCCCCCCACAGAGAGAATGCGCTCTGTATAATTCTGTGTTGTTACTGCTACAGGGCAAGTAGCTTAATGCGGTCACAGAGCAGCCTAAACGTCTCTGTTACTCTGTTTATTGCAGTGATATGATCACCATTAAAGTCATATCTTTCTCTCTCCCAGACGATGTATGCTGATGTGAATCACATGGTAGTATCAGGAGCTCATATCCAAGAAAGTGAACACCCTTGATTAGTGGTACTTTATTTCATATTTTAGGCATTTCACTAACTGTTGTATACTCTATCAGACAACAGTTAAGGCAGTAATGAAAATCATTTCATTCCGTGGCAAAGAATGTATGACGAACTTCAGATCCATTCATGAGTCGGACAGAACATTTAACTGCTACATGTGTCTACAGTCTATTTTCTGCAATCAGGTTCACACCTCATGGTGTTAAACCACTTCTGTCATTCATGGTTGTAGGAAGTAGAACATTGTTTGGTATTAGCTGTGTGACCCTGTCCTGTCCCGTGACCCTGCAGGTCATTGCCAAGGACCGGGAGGCCCTGCTCAGTCAGTCTAACTGGGGGAAGATGGTGCAGAAAGTGTCTCAGTTTGGGATCAGAACTGGAACCTTCAACTGCTCTAATGACTACAGGTGGGATGCAGGGCCTACTTCAAATTCACATAATGACACATAATGCTCATCGGGCAGAAGCATGTGGAGCAATTGTGTTAGTAAGACAATTATATTTCTTCTTATTTGTTTGAGATGTTCTAATGTTCATCTTTCTCTACCTCTGAAGGTTTTCTTTTTGTAGAAAAACTAGCTAATGAGATATTTGAACTATAGACAAAATTCAAATGCCACAAGTTCAGTATTAAGTGGAAGATACGATCGCCATTACTGAAAAAATAAGGCACATTTTAGTCCGACCATAAATTCTGTATGTAATTCCATTGTGGGTTGATACCATTTGATTTTGTATTTGACTATAGGTCTGCCAAACTTAGGAACTTTTCAGCTATAGGGGATGCTACGGCATCATCATGAATTCGTCGTGGACAGCTACTCAAATATTTAAGGGCTCAGAATCAGAACCAAGTTTATTGCCAGGTACGTTAACACATGCAAGGAATTTGCTTTGGTATCTGCTGGTGCGAACATACAACTAAGATGGCGCTGCAGATGGCTGCTAAACTAGAATTTTGAGAAATCTACCTAACTTACTCTCTTTTTTTTAATGTAATTCGAACGTAAATATTGTATTTATTTACTCCACTCCATTTATCTGATTGCTGACTGATTCCTCCCCATATGTGTAATATAAATAGAATAACAAGTAGCTGACCAAAAATAGGCCAGTTTGCAATGAATGAAGACTTCAAACCATTTCAGTTTGCCTTCATTCACACACTCGGTCTTTTCCTCATTCACATACAGCAATCTCCCGTATATCTATTTCAGTGTCACAGTATCACCTCATACTATAAGAGTTGTTGCATTAGAAAGACCATCCACTGTGCAACAGAAATAATAAATGAAAAAGCCTTGGGTCGGCAACCTGCCATGTTGTAAACCAAGTGATGAACAGGACCATTGATGTGGGGCTGTCAGTGTGGGGGGGGAAACCATCCAGCAGTTGTCAGCTTCCACACGTTATGTTTTCCTGTCTGTAGGAGACTAGGTGTGTGATTGTATACTGACATGGTGCCTCTCTGCTCCGTCCCCAGGTCCTGTATCAAGCGTGGCTGGCAGCGCTCCACTCTCATCATGTCCGTTCCTCAGACTTCAGCATCAAAGGGCAAAGTCATGCTTAAAGAATACAATGGCCGTCGCATTGAACCTGAACACATCTTCCGCTGGATGACCTCACATGTGGCTCATCGAATCAAAACACTGCATCAGTCTGAGCAGCTGTTGGAGGAGTGGCGCTCTGACCCCGCCCACCCGGTGAAGATGTTCCTGTTCGCCTGCCTGCCCCAGCCCCCCGCCTTCTTCTCTGCGCTGTCCGTCAAGTTTACTGGAAGGATCGAGTTTGTTTTTGTGGACGTACATCACTGGGAAAACCACAGCAGCCTATCAGAGATAGATGTGACACAGAGCCCCGCCTACATTCTCAAGATGCCTGAGGGCATCTATCGCTATGGCAGCAGGTGCACATTAAACATTTTAAATGATGAGTTATTGTACATAAAAAAAAATAGAATTTGTTCCACTCCTCTCCTCCTTCACTCCTTCACTCCTCTCCTCCTTCACTCCTCTCCTCCTTCACTCCTTCATTCCTCCCCTCCTTCACTCCTCCTCTCCTTCACTCCTCCACTCCTTCACTCCTCTCCTTAACGGAGTGTGGACTGGTAGCTAGAGAGCTGACAGTTCACCTCCTGGGCCCTGCCGAGGTGCCCTTGAGCAAGGCCCCCCACCTGCTCCGGCGAGCTGGCTGCCCCTTCACTCTGCCACCTCCCCTATCCTGCATGTGTGTAAACACCAGAATTAAAAAAAGTAATTTCCCTGTTGGAGATTAATAAAGTATGTTTTTGTCTTCTTCACCCCTCTTCCTTCCTTTTCTGCTCTTTGTCTCCACCTCTTCTTCACTCTTCTTCACTCTTCTTCACTCTTCTTCATCTTTTCTTCAATTGTCTGGTAATGATTTTTGGAGCCAAGGCAGAACGTATAAAAGTTGGTCATTTACTCTGACCTGAGTTTCAACAGTCACATTAAGACAATTACTAAGTCAGCCTACTATCACCTTAAGAATATATCTAGGATTAAAAGACTAATGTCACAGCAGGATTTGGAAAAACTTGTCCATGCTTTTATCTTCAGCAGACTGGACTACTGTAATGGTGTCTTTACAGGTCTCACTAAAAGATCTATTAGAAAGCTGCAGCTAATTCAGAACGCTGCTGCTCGAGTCCTCACTAACACTAAGAAAGTGGATCAGTCCAGTTCTGAAGTCTTTACACTGGTTCCTCACTAACACTAAGACAGTGGATCAGTCCAGTTCTGAAGTCTTTACACTGGTTCCTCACTAACACTAAGAAAGTGGATCAGTCCAGTTCTGAAGTCTTTACACTGGTTCCTCACTAACACTAAGAAAGTGGATCAGTCCAGTTCTGAAGTCTTTACACTGGTTCCTCACTAACACTAAGAAAGTGGATCAGTCCAGTTCTGAAGTCTTTACACTGGTTCCTCACTAACACTAAGAAAGTGGATCAGTCCAGTTCTGAAGTCTTTACACTGGTTCCTCACTAACACTAAGAAAGTGGATCAGTCCAGTTCTGAAGTCTTTACACTGGTTCCTCACTAACACTAAGAAAGTGGATCAGTCCAGTTCTGAAGTCTTTACACTGGTTCCTCACTAACACTAAGAAAGGGGATCAGTCCAGTTCTGAAGTCTTTACACTGGTTCCTCACTAACACTAAGAAAGTGGATCAGTCCAGTTCTGAAGTCTTTACACTGGTTCCTCACTAACACTAAGAAAGTGGATCAGTCCAGTTCTGAAGTCTTTACACTGGTTCCTCACTAACACTAAGAAAGTGGATCAGTCCAGTTCTGAAGTCTTTACACTGGTTCCTCACTAACACTAAGAAAGTGGATCAGTCCAGTTCTGAAGTCTTTACACTGGTTCCTCACTAACACTAAGAAAGTGGATCAGTCCAGTTCTGAAGTCTTTACACTGGTTCCTCACTAACACTAAGAAAGTGGATCAGTCCAGTTCTGAAGTCTTTACACTGGTTCCTCACTAACACTGAGAAAGTGGATCAGTCCAGTTCTGAAGTCTTTACACTGGTTCCTCACTAACACTAAGAAAGTGGATCAGTCCAGTTCTGAAGTCTTTACACTGGTTCCTCACTAACACTAAGAAAGTGGATCAGTCCAGTTCTGAAGTCTTTACACTGGTTCCTCACTAACACTAAGAAAGTGGATCAGTCCAGTTCTGAAGTCTTTACACTGGTTCCTCACTAACACTAAGAAAGTGGATCAGTCCCGTTCTGAAGTCTTTACACTGGTTCCTCACTAACACTAAGAAAGTGGATCAGTCCAGTTCTGAAGTCTTTACACTGGTTCCTCACTAACACTAAGAAAGTGGATCAGTCCAGTTCTGAAGTCTTTACACTGGTTCCTCACTAACACTAAGAAAGTGGATCAGTCCAGTTCTGAAGTCTTTACACTGGCTTCCTGTGTGTCAAAGAATAGATTTCAAAATACTGCAGCTGGTTTATAAAGCTTTGAATGGTTTAGGCCCAAAATACATTTCTGACCTACTGCTAAATTATGAACCATCCAGAACTCTCAGGTCTTCAGGGACTGGTCAGCTTTCTGTCCCCAGAGTCAGAACTAAACATGGAGAAGTTCAGTTATTATGCTCCAAATATCTGGAACAAACTCCCAGAAACCTGCCGGTCCGCTGCAACTCTGACTACTTTTAAATCCAGGCTGAAGACTTTTATTTTTGCCGCTGCTTTCAATTGAACTATTCACATCTTAAACTGCACTGTAACTTTTATCCATGTATTTTTTTCTTTTAATGTTTATTTTATTATCTTTGCTTTTTAATGACTGATTTTAAATGCCATTTTCTTAATGTCTTTCATTGTTGTAAAGCACTTTGAATTGCCTTGTGCTGAAAGGTGCTATATAAATCAACTTGCCTTGCCTTTGCTTCTCTTCCTTCTCTCCTCCCCTCCTCTCTTCAGTATCGGGGAGTTCCTGTCCCTGGCTGCTATGGATACGTTCCTGCGCGGGGTCCAGCCGGAGGTCAACGATCTGTTTGTCCTCAGTCTGGTCCTGATTAACCTGCTGGCCTGGATGGACCTCTTCATTACACAGGTCACTTGTTTTTTTACTCAAGCAACGTACTTAAGTACAATTTAGACAAATGGCTCATTGGTCTGTGGGAACCTTACCTCTTATTTTTTCCATCTCTCTTCCAAAAGACACAGATTACTAGCGTATTTATGAATACCAAAAGAACATAACAGCAAGTGAAAAAGCATATGTGCTGTACAGTTGCAACTTACAGGCAGAACAAAAGCTGTCACATTTGGCCTTTTCTGCATCATTCTTCTGCATTTGCCTTCCCATGCTGTAGACCAGTCCCCCACTCCGGCTGGAGAGATCAGGTGCAGAGCTACATGAGCCACTTGACCTACTTAATATTTTACATGATCAGCTTTGAAAATATGGTGCACTTTTGCAAATGAAACTACCTAACACTAGTCAAAATGTATATCGTTTATGCAGTTTTACTACACTGTGTTACTGCTTTTTATTGAAATCTTCTGGATAGTTATTTCACAATGTATGAGACACCTTATACAGAGTGTTAGACAGAGAGAGGAAATGTCCAGTTAGTTCTGTATTTTCTGTCCAGTTTACTTTTAACATGTTTTCATTTTCATGGACAGGGAGCAACCGTGAAAAGATTTGTAGTTCTTATCCGAACACTTGGAACATACAACTCTATACTGCTGGGGTCCTGGCTTCCTGTTCTGGTAGGAAATCATTCATACCCAACAACAACTAACTTCAGTTACATTCTGTTGCTCTGGAGATAGAGGGGGTTTAATGTGTCCATGGGCAAGATCCTTTTGTGAATGAGCATATACAGTGGCAAGAAAAAGTATGAGAGCCCTTTGGAATGTCCTGGTTTTATGCATGAATTGGTCAATAAATGTGATCTGATCTTCATCTTAGTCACAATTATAGACAAACACAATCCATTTGAACTAATAGCACACAATTGATTGGTTTGTTCTTGTCCTTATTGAATAGTTTATTCAAACATTCAGTGTAGTTTGGGAAAAGTATGTGAACCCCTCGCTTCCAACAAAAGCCAATTGAGTCAGGGGTATCAGTAAAAAAAGATTGGAGGTGTTGTTCGAGCTACTTTTGACTTTTAAAAATCACTCAAAAAACATTTGACTTTGCTATTCACAAGGTGTGTCTGCTGATATGAACCATGGCTTAGTGGATTTTCCTGATTTCAGTGGGTTCTATCTTTTCCTTTGGTCAGGGGATTATACCAGCCTCACTATTGACTGAACTTGAGTTGAATTGATAGTATTGATCACTAATCAGTGATTGGTCCCTCCTTCAGGCTCTCCTCCAGCTGCCCTACCTGGACTCTCTGTACGGTTACAGTCTGAAGCTGCTCCGGTATGCTGACACCACCACCCTGGCCAGCCTGGTGAGAGCTGACTGGACCTTCTACTGCTCCCACCCAGCCCTCTTCCTGTCCACCTACCTGGCTCACGGCCTGCTCGTCGACTACTTTGAAAAGAAACGCCGCTGTGGCATGAGGAGCCAAGAGGACAGCACCACAAACCTGGAGTGGCTGTCCAATCTGTGGGACTGGTACACTTCCTATCTGCTCCACCCAATCGCAGCGCTGCAGCAGGTCCCATCTGACTACTCAGACTGGGAGGTCGACCCCAACTTTTTATTAGAGCGTTTGGCTTTCCCTGATCTCTGGCTGCGCCCATTAGTAAACATGGAGTATATTGACACCCTGCCAACCTGGAGGTTCAGAGCTGCTGGTCCGGACAGAGGAGGGGGGGGGGGTGTAAAGCTGGATGAAGAGACAGATAGTTCACATTCAGACACAGAGAGCATGAAGCAGTTGGATGCAGTTCCCATCAGATCTCCAAACAGCAGCAAGAAACACGAGAGCTCATTGAGCAGTCAGGACAGCGGTAAACATTTGTGTGTGCACACAAACACAGACCCCAGCAGTAGCTGTGAGTGTGTGTGTGCTGCTGCATCACCACTCTGCTGTCGTCATGGGAACAGAAGCTCACCATTAGCTGACAGTACGGTGGAGGACGGCAGCCTGACATCCGAAGACATCTCCAACTATCAGCACTGTGATTGGTCGGTGTGGCCCCGTGACGTCCTGCAGTGTCTGGAGTGTGTGGTGTGTCTGGAGAACTTTGTGAGTGAGGAGCTGCTGATGGCCCTGCCCTGCGGCCACGTGTTCCACCAGCAGTGCATCGTGGTGTGGCTGGCCTCCGGCAGACACTGCTGCCCGGTGTGTCGCTGGCCCAGCTACAAGAAGAAGCTGCAGAGGGCTGCAATCAGAAGCTCCACGGGAAACACCCTGCAGGACTGATGCATACGTCTTACTTAGGGCTGTGTATCGATGTTAAATTGATCAGCCTAGATATTGTCTTACATTTTGGCTATGGTAATATCTTATATCGTAATATATATAAGTGTGTTTTCCTAGTTTTGAAGGCTCTATTACAGTGAATGGATGTCATTCTATGAACTAAAAAGAGATTTCAGCTGTTTACTTTACCCACTTAATCATTATAACCTCATTATTTATCAAAAATGTCATTGTGTAAATCATTTGTGAAGGCCCCAATAGTCAACAGTAAAAACAAAATTCGATTTTGAAATATTTGGTGAAAAATAAGGTGATATTTGTTTTTCTTCATATGGCCCAGCTCTGCTTCATGTGTCCTCTCTGCTCTCATTGTTCATTGGCTCAGAGCTCACTGAGACTGTGTCTGATATTATAACAGGTTGCTTTTGGTAAAGTTGGGACCGGGAAGGCTTACTTAGATATTTTTAAACTGGACCTTTTTTCACATGTCATAATGACCAACGGGCCTAATATTTTTGAAATCGGTTCAGTATTGAGAGGGAGTGCTGCAGCCAGCAGTCGCTAAACGAACTCCAATTTACGTCCAAGAATGCTTGCTCCTGCCACGGAAAGGCCTGATTGTAATATAAAAGATTGACTACATCATGAACAGGACCCTCTAGAGAAAAAAAGCTAAGGGAGAAGTCTTCTTCTGAAATCTTGTGTTGCATTTGCATTATGGAAATCAGCTAAATATTCTGCCATTACATGTCAAATCAACACTTTGCTAAGCTCTTTGTACTTCAACACATCTGATAACCTTGGCTTGACACCAGCTTTCAGCCAGTGTCTTCTAGCAACAAGTCACATGACTCAATAACAAACAGACCAGAGAAGCAAAATGTAGAACTAAACATTGTATTTCTCTTACTATAATGTTGTCTGACACTTATCGAGCGATTACATTGCAGACTGTTATTGTCAAAACATGTTGTCCCCATTAATACATATAAACATGGGGACACTGGGTCCAGGTTGGAAAGTAGAGAAGTTAAAAAGACAGGTGGCGGGATCCTGTTGTCATAAAGCCATAAATCAGCTTGCTTCTCCTAATGTTGGAGGCAATATACTGGCCGCTATTAGCAGACAGTGAAACTATGACAGCCCACTCGCCATGGGTTCTTTATCCAGAGTAAACAAGCACACTTTGTAGTAACTGAATCACAAGACAATTGTACGAACTACGTCCTGTGTTATGACTGACTGCAACTGCAAACACTTCCATGCTGAATGTATGTGTTTAACATTTCTGAAGGTATTGACATCACCATACTGGCAACTCCCCAGAATCTTAATTTCTGTATAAGTATTTATTTTGAATGTGCTTAAACAAGTTTCCTGCCCTCCACCTATTAATAGTTTCTGCCTTAATTCTGCCCTATCACATCCAATCGTTTTTCAATATAGTGCATTTACAAATTCAATGCTAAATCTGTGTTTGATCACTGAACCAATATACAGTCATCATTCATTGTATTCTGACTGTGCCCAAGATTTACAGACTCATCTCTAAATTACATTCAAGCCCAATAACCACCTGATTTGCTCTAAACCTCAAGGGAGGACAGTCTACTGTATGATCACAGTACTCACTTTGATTTTCAGCACGTGCATAACATTATGTTAGAGGCACATTGATCTGTTGCTATACCAATTCTGCTAGGATTTCTTTATCTAAAACAGATAGGGACTTCCATTTTCTAAAATGGTGCATATATGAATGCTGGTATCAGCCCTCATATTAACCCAGTTGACTGCTTCACTGGCAGTATTTGCCTTTATTTTTTAGTTTAAGATTTTTCTATCAAAGAAAAACTGTAAAGTTAACTAGAATATGGACCCATTCTAGAAGTTAAGTCGATGCAGTGGAGCATCTGCCAACTCAAAGCAAGACAAGAGCAAGCCTGATGCACCTTTTACTCTTTTATCTCCATTGGGTCTGCATGTCAAGTCTGCACCAGAGTACTCAGACATGTCAACACACAACAATGTGGCCACATTGTTGGAATACAACAATTATAATTCAGGGACATATCAGCCAGAAATGTTTTTGAAACAAATAATGTATTTTAAAAAAGACACTTTTTAATATAATACGTTTTAGACGTGAGTGGGCTCCACCAACAACCTGAGGCCTCTGCATGTGACTTTGAGAAGCTCAGGAGAGCAGTCTGAGGGCTGCTACAGCACTAACCAACTTATTTCTAAATGCAGTCAGCATTATAGCCTCTTTAGATTGTTGCTTTTAATTTAAACTCTGCTTTTATCGACCTTGTTTCCAGCAGCAGTTTCAGTGAAGAATTCTAATAAACCTACAAACAGCAGAGTCATTGAGAGCTGGTGACTAAAGAGGAGAATAAAGCAGATCCAGAGACAGATATGTTCTACAGGAGCCAAAGTAGAGCTAAAAGGATAGTGAGTATTGGAGTGTATCAAGTGAACACACACAGGACTCCCATGGGATGAGCATGTTGCTCTAAGTCTTATGGGAATGGGCCTCTTTTTGCTGATGTGTTTACCATGTCAATGTTACAGTATGATATGTCAGACATGTTTAGAGCTTACCAAAAAAAACTATTAATTCAGCTCCAACAACGGAGGTATTATTCAATCAATGCTGTATGATGACTGACCTTAAACAATACAGAAGGTTGATTGGATATTTTAAAAATGAATTTGTTGAGATCACAGCTTTCAGATGCTACATTACTACAAGTATTCAGCGTGGATGGATTTATACATGCTTTTTCCCTTCATGAATCTATTGATGCCTGCCAGGATGTGAGGTGCAGTCAGGCTCTGACACCTTGACACCATGGGGGGCCTGTTGTGCAGGAGAAGAGCTGTCAGTGTGTCAGCCCCCCCCTCCAACTGACGTTCAGCAGCACAGAACACAATCATGAGAAAGCCACAGTTCACTTCTTATACCATAAACAGTTTCACCACTCAACGCCTCAGGAGAAGAAACAAAGCTCTGATTGAATGATGGTAAGTAGCTCTCAATTCTCTCTTTTGAAAAAATGTAAACCTATAAAGTTTTTGGCGTAATTCATAAAAAATAATAACTGGATTTTTTTGGGAAGTTTTGTATTGCTTTAAATATTTTCGGAAGAAACTTAACATTAGACCTACAGCCTGCCCTGGGCGTCACTTGGTTAGAAAAAGTGGTGGGGACACTTTCAGATTTGAAAAACCACTACTGCATTAAGGGTCCGCAAACAAGACATTTATACATACATATGCTTACAATGCTTTTTTTGAGAAATAGTGCAGTAACTATGCTACGCTGCTGCAAAGCTATTCTCTATTCAATTATCACTAATATTAAATGTGTCTCAGGTCCAAACTGCACCTCTTGGGTTACCAGAAGTACAGCCAGAATGTGAGAACAGTCCTCCAGACTCTACAGGTTCTCTTGTCCAAATAAACCTCACAGTGTACAATTCTGTGTGCAAACTATCGTCAGATCATTTTAACAAATGATCCTAATGCAAAGTGGTGGGGACGAAACTGGCCACTTCCAAAAGTGGAGGGGACATGTCCCCAGCGTCCCCAGTATAAATGACGCTTATGGCTGACACATTGTTCTGAGGCAGTAGGCTAAATGGAACAATGTCATCAGTCAGGTCAGCATGGATGAGGGGCTTTGAAGGCTTTTGTCTCACCAACAGTGGGCGCTGCCGACACCTTTCTGTAACTGACTGAGGCTCTCCCTCAGGGCCGTTTTTTGGCATATGGCGGTCGCCTAGGGTGCCAGATCCAGGGGGGCGCTGCGCTGGCAGCTCTGGGAGGGAAAACCATTTTTTTTACTGTTTGCGCTCATCCTAATTTTCGGCCTTGATTCATAATTAAGTAAATGTAACACCCTTTTCCCCCTGTTTACACTTTTCATTTGCCCTGTACGATGGGCGCTGTAAGTGATGAAAGTGGGGGGTGTTGGCTTATCAGGCGCCCGCAGCTCACAGCCAAAGTGGGCGTGGGAGCGAGCGAGAGAGATAAATGCAATTTATGTAAACAAATCCAATATTTCCAAGGCACTCCTTTATAATTATTGGGATAAACAGGTTTGAAATCATTTCAATGTATACTATAGGACAGTAAACTAAAAATATCGTTTAAAACTTAAGATAAAAAAATATGCATAAATAAATGTTAAAATAAAATATAGATATATAGGTAAAATAAGATATAAATGAACAACAAAAATAAAATAAGTTACATTTATTTGTTATTGGCTATGGTAGGTTATTGGTTATGTTCACATACTTATTTGGTTGTTAAAATGTAAACCGATCTTTTTTATATGGGTGTTTAGAGTTGTACCCCCTAGATCAGGTCTCTAGTGCACCAGATTGAAGCATTTTACTTTAAAATGTTCAAACATTTCTTCCCGGGGGGGCATACCCCCGGACCCCCCTAGAGGATGTGACGTCCACCCCCCAATTAAAACATGTTCATACAATACTGAATATATTTGAAGCCTTTTTGATGTATATTACCTATGTCAATAAGTTTCAGTTTTTCTAGTGTATTGGTCTTTTGTGGAGATTTTTCATTTATTCTTTATCTATTCTATTGTGTATTCCTTGGATACTTTTATCTTTTCTACTGTACGATTTTCTGGCAGGGGGAGGGCGCCAGCTAAAATTGTGTGTGTGTGTGTGTGTGTGTGTGTGTGTGTGTGTGTGTGTGTGTGTGTGTGTGTGTGTGTGTGTGTGTGTGTGTGTGTGTGCGCGTGTGTGTGGTTGTGCGCGTGCGCGTGTGTGTGGTTGTGTCGTTGTGTGTTTTGTGTTTTGGGCTCGAGACAGCTCCAGCCAGTCAGACGCCAGCAGAGTTGAGGCCCCCCCCCCCCCCCCCCCTTCTGTTCTGTGCTCCTCTAACGGCGGCTACACACGCTGCTGTGTTGCATACAGGCAGGACATTACGGAGAGGACCAGAGACAGCTAGTGGACACATTCACTGTGATTATACCCGGAGACCGAGACCCCGGAGGCCGGTGGACCCGCGGAGGGACCGGGCTGAGTGACACAGGTCCCGGTGTTCATGTTGTACACACCGAGGCGCGATATTGGATCTTTCTTCAGGAAGGACCCTCAGCCTCGCACAGGGATGTTTCTGTCCTGGGGCGGCATGTAGGGGATGTTATCATCTTGGAAAAGTAGAGGTTAGACAACTTTCTCTGTTTCTGGCCTCAGTTTGATAGAGTTGATAAACTCGCCATATCACTCTGTCGGCAGGGAGCCTATGCTGTCACTCATGACAGCTCATGACTTTTGAGATCAATTCTGGAACTAATCCAATAGGATTCCCCCCCAGTTGCATTGAAAACGTGTGTACAAAGCAGTGCCTGTGAGAGGAGCTTCAGAGCTGTTCAACATACCATATGTTGTGAGTGTGACTGTAATTGGAATGATCATTTAGCTCCAGAGCTGCCAGCCACTGCACACTGCTCTGTGTGTGATCCGAGCTATGCAGACTGACTGGAGCCACTCTCAGACAGCTCCTCTGCACACCCAGCTCTAAGGTGCTCTCACAGAGAGGAACTTTTACAGCTGAGGAAAGCTCCCTGCAAGCCTCGATCCAGAGGGACGACTGGTGCGGAGTAGCAGATGTTACACAGCTTTGTGTATTATGTGTGTATGTGCGGATTATTCAGATGCTGCTATGCAGACAGAGTGGAGCCACAGAAAATCTGCTTGTGAAGTTTGAGTAACTCTCCGGCTGTGCAGCCCCTGTCAGAGCACTCAGTTGAAGAAATGTGTTGCACTGTTGGCAGCTGAAGTTTTCTTTATGAGGGTTTTGTTGTTGCAGGATTGAAGTATTATTTAAAACAAAAACTCGTACAGGTTATGTACATTATGAATTGGTAACTTTCACATAGACTGAGACCAACAGTTGTGCCTGAAACACATGGGAAAAGTCCCATCTGACTTTTTTTTACAGTAAAGAAGCAATGTTGTTCCCTCCACTGGCTTGTTGGTTACACTAATTGTCGGGAAATGAAGAACCCTCATTCGCTGAATAATACCTGGAATAGATCCATTAACAAAGACGAAGTACTAATGTCGGTGCCTGGCAGTAACAAGAAGTTCAAAAGAAAGTCTCAGGAGCCTAAAAAGCTTTATAGTGGCCCCGAGTCCGACAGGATGAAAACCCAAGCAGCCAACATGTCGGATGTGGACTCAGTGGATGACACCCTGCCTGAGGCATGTCACTTCAGCAGGTTGGCACCATTAAGGAGACAGCTGATCCTATCACAAGAAGGGATGGCCGGTTCTACAGCCCTTCTGTCAGGACTACCAGAGAGCGAAATGTCTCCAGCCCAGGGGGGTGCCATAGACATGAGAATTGG